AGCGCCGTTTGCGCGACGCAGCCCCTAACGAACCCACAGCGACGCGGAGGCTGCGGGCGCCTGCCGAGGGAGCAGGGCACGGGCCTGGCTCTTACCTTGGTTCCAGGTTTCAATCCTTCTAATTGTTTGGGTTTCCGGAAGGTTTTGTGGTGCTGCAGCTTGTGTTCGATTTTATCCTTGGCAAAGAGGAACTGGAGCCTGCACTTGTTGCAGTGGTAAACGCTCTTCTTCTAAAGCGAAGGCAGATGAAACGTTTCGTTTTAGAGAAACACAAGTCACAGCTTCTTCCAAAGCAGAGGAGTAAAAGGAAAAGATAAACCCCTTTTCCCCTCTTGGAAACCAAAGCCAGCCCTATTTTTAACTGGATCATAGAACCATGGAATGGTTTGGGTTGGAAGGGACCTTAAAGCTCATCCAGTTCCAACCTCCAACCACAGGCAGGGACCCCTTCCATAGCCCAGGTTGCTCCAAGCCTCATCCAGCCTGGCCTTGGACACTCCCAGGGATGGGGCATCCACAGCTTCTCTGGGAACCTGTCCCAGTGCTCCCCACCCTCTGCAGGAAGAATTCCTTCCCGCAGTCCCATCTCCATCTCCCTCTTTCCGTTCAAACCTGTTCGTCACCCCTTGTCCTGTCACTCCCTGCCCTTGGGAAAAGCCCCCCCAGCTCTCTTGTAGCCCCCCAGGCACTGGAAGGGGCTCTGAGGTCTCCCCGGAGCTTCCCTTCTCCAGGCTGAACCCCCCAACTCCCCCAGCCTGTCCCCATGGCAGAGGGGCTCCAGCCCTCGGAGCATCTCCGGGGCCTCCTCTGGCCTCGCTCCAACAGCTCCGTGTCCTTCTGCTGTTGGGAGTCCTGGAGCTTGAGCAGAACTGCAGGGGGGTCTCCCCAGAGCGGAGCAGAGGGGGAGAATCCCCTCCCTTGCCCCCCTGGCCACGCTGCTCTGGATCCAGCCCGGGATGGGGTTGGCTTTCTGAGCTGCCACACTGGCACCTGACAGCACTCTCATTGCAGCTTTCCTGTCCCTGCTAAGGCCCGTGTCCGGGGTGGCTTGGCTTTTGATGGATTGGGGTTTCCAGTTAAATCCTCAGGCTCTGCGGAGGCGCCAGGCCTGGCGGAGCCACGGAACAGGCCTCACCCAGCTCGTCGGAGCCGAAGGCAGGCACGTAAGCGGGAGAACGTCCCTTCAAATCCCACCCTGCCTCCGCTGGGAGCCGGAGGGGCTCAGGGACAGGCGACTCCGGCACCCGGCGAGCACCACGCTCCTGTATTCCGAAGGAACACTTAGGCTACATCCAGGGAAGCCGACGTGGAGGGAAACGGAACGCCGCGCTACGACGGCACGCAGCTGCGGGGAGAGAAAACCTTAACCCCTCCCAGAGGAAGGGAGCCCGCTGCGGGTTAAGCATCCCAGGGTCGCGGCTCATCGCTAGGCAACGACAGTCCGGGCTGCTCCCAGAGGAGCAACGCCGCTCCCTCCTTTCCACACAATCCCTGTGAAAAGGCTGGGATGACAGTGTGGAAACTGCATTTGTTCCAGAGCGAAAACGGCGTCTATTAAACCCCCTTTCAGCCAAATCCCCTTTCTTCCCGCTTTTATTCCAAGCGAACGCTGAACTAATCGCATCCACCGAACCTCTGCGGAGAGGGAACCACGGTAACCACGGTAACCGCAGCCCCCAGACGGTACCTGATGCCTCATGAAGTGCTGCTGGAAAGCGTTGCCGTTCTTGAAGACTTTGAGACAGTACGGACAGAGCAGGTGCCGCGTGTCTTCATGGATCATCCGGAAGTGGCTATCCACCTCCGAGTAGAGCGAGGAACGGTACTGACAGACCTGTGGGAGCGGTAGTTACCGGTGAGGGACGGCAGGAACCCAGCTCGCATCCACCACTCCAACACAGGGATGTCGGCAAGCAGCGCGCGGATCCCCGGAGATCCTCGGGGGTTAGGAAGCAGGGGGTAAGGAACCCGCCGGCTCACGGAATGGTTTGGGTTGGAAGGGGCCTTAAAGCTCATGGCCCTGCGCGGCAGGGAGGCCTTCCGCGAGGCCAGGTTGCTCCTACGTCACCTGTGCCTGTTCGGAGCAGTCTGGATAAACAGACTCCAACTGTGTCGGAATGAGGGACAATTCGAGCTCCAGATCCAAGGGAAAAAGAAACCCGGGAGAGACAGTCAATGCAAAGCAGTTGGAAAATGTTAGAGAGGAGTTTCTTCAGGAGGGAGGAGGAGGGACAGCGTTAGGACCCCCGGGCGGAGGCGACAC